CTGGGGGCTGGTAGCGAGTGCCAGAGCTTCCTCCTCACGATGGCTGGACGCCGTTTCCCTGTGTCGGTACAGTGCTTCATTATTCACTTAGCAGGTGGTAGTCCTTGGTTGTTTCGATGTGGGGGCTTCGATAAACACTGTAAATACTCCCGTACAGTGTTTGCGAATCTGTGTTCTCATTTCTCTTCATTAACACGGAAGGGTGGGATCACACATCACGTGGCCTCACTGTTCTGACCACGTTCTGCTAGATTTTCCCGAATAAGGGGTTTGTCATTTGCTACCAGCATTTAAGACAATTCTCAGAGAATTTCAGTTTTCTTAAAAATGGTTTTCACCAGGAACAGCAGATGGCCTCATGGTTGCGTCACTGGACTCCCATGTAGTTGACCGCAGTTCGAGTCCTGGACCCAGCAGCTTGAAGCTCACACTGGGCACATTTCCCAGGAAGAGAATTGAAGAGAAGGGACTGCAGTGTGGCCACTCTCCCCAGGGGGTGATTTCTCACTTTCTCTTTTTTTGGTGAGCAAATGTGCCCTATAGCAAAAATCTCTCTCACACAAAAAATAAAGAAAGAAATAAAAGGTTCTCACCAGGTGGTCTCACTGGAGAGTGGGCCACCAGGACTCCTCCTGCTGCCCTTCCAAACGTGATGAACCCCCACTCCATGCACGGTTTAGAATCTGGGGTGTTCATCATGTCCTACCATTGCTTTATTCTTCCAAAATGTCTTCAGCCATGTGGAGTATTTGTGTATCTTTCTTTTTTATTTTATTTTAGTTTAGTTTTACTACAGGGCACACACTCTGGCCAGAGACACAGATAGAACGTGAGAAAGTGAGAAATCACCTCCAGAGGGATGGCCACACCACAATCTCTTCTCTTCCATTCTCCTCTCGGGATTTTGGGCATACGCACACATGCCAGGCATATATTTTAGGCCGCTGGATCTGGGACTTGAACTGTGCAGTTAGCCATGTGGGATACAACTCCTTAACCACCACGCTACCTGCTGACCCTACCTTTCCTATTTAATATTAGCAATTTTTTGAGGAGTGTGTGCTTGCTGGAGAGCAACAGAAAGAGAGAGAGAGGAAAAGTGAGAAAGCGGACCCCTCTGGCGGATGGTGACACTGCAGTCCCATCTGGTCCCTTTCTCCTTCCTCCTGAGATTTTAGGCATGCATGCACCACGTGCGTCCGGAATCTTTTTCAAACGCGAACAGTTCAGTCAGGAGTCCCAACCACCATGCTGTGGCTGGCCGGCTCGTTTTAGTTTTTTAGTCTTCTGTTGTTGTTGCTGTTGTTGTTGATGTAGGGCATGTGTACTTGCCAGAGAGAGAGAGACGAAAAGAGGGGAAGTGAGAAACCACCCCAGGTGGTAGCCACATGGCAAGTTCTTCTCCACTGTCTTCTTGGAATCTGGGGCATGCACGCACACATGCCTGGTGTGATTTTCAAGCCACCAAGTCTGGAACTCAAACAGCAGTTGCCATTTGGGAGTCCAGTGCCTTAGCCACCACACCCCGTGCCGGCCCAGGGTTTCTAATCTTTGCAGTCTGTCCAGAGCATCACATAACATAAGTATTTCTAGACAAAGATGTTGATCATGCAGAAATCATCAGCGATGGCTGTTGCTGTCTTGAAATGCTCACTAATTTTCTCTTTGAACTTGTGCTTTGAAAGGTCCATGCAGACACGGAAGCCACCCCTGACCTGGGAAGTATGCACACACCGCATGTCTCCTGCTTTTCCACACAGCAGCTGCAATGCACGGTGAGCACAGAACTCCCCGCGGTTCCACCACGGTGCGAGACTGCAGTATTCCAAGTGAGTACAAGGCGAGCACGTGATGTGTGATCAAGTGAGCAGGGTATGGGCAGCTCTGAGGGCCCCCATCTCCCCGAGAACACAAACTGGTCCACATGCAGAGAGGAAGTGCTGCTGTAGAATGTGTCCCCCAAAGATGCGTGTGTTAAGCCACGGTAATGGGAGTAAGGGGTGAAAACCTGACTCAGCTATGGTGCTGAAAGGTGGGGCTTCAGGGGCGAGATTGAGAAGGTCATTGGAGCAGAGCCCCCGACTGACTCCTGGAGGGTCTGTAAGGAGAGGGAGTGAGAGACAGATGCAGGACATACAGCGCACGCCCCTGCCCTCCGCCACACTGTGACGCGGCCAGAACTCCATTGGACGCTGGACCCTGGACCCTGGACCCTGGACCCTGGACCCTGGATCTTGGACCGCCAAAAGATGAGTCAGACCTTGTTTCTCTCAATCACCAATAATAAGAGAAAAACTTTAGACATTTAATTTAGCAGAGAGCAAAAATGATTCGAATCAGAGACCCCTCAGAATGGTTTCCAAGTAACTCCTGATAGTCACATGACGAGGTGAGAGTCCCAAGAAAGGGAATGTACCAAAAAATGGAAGTGAGGGAACGAGGCAGAAAAATAATGGGATTGGTTACATCTTGACGTTTGCCTGCAAGAGCTCAGTTTAAAGGGTGGGCTGTCTATGACTGACACTGAAGTCTGGCTGCTGTGATTGGCTGTCACTTAGCAACTTACTAAGGAAGCAGCCTTCCAAGAGTTTGCTCTGGAACCCAGGCAGGAGTACGGAGGCGTTTGCCAGCAGTAAAGTTTCACTCATTTTCTGGTATTGGCAGCACAATGACTAGAACAGAAAGCAATGGCGTAATGAACGTGAAGGAGCCTGTTGCATGCCCTCTTCGTCGTGTGACCTCTGTCGGTTAGCCGCCTGACGACGCGTCTGTAAGGCTCCAGCAGACAGCGCTGCAGAACACGTGCATCCACACAACTGCAGTTACCAGAGTGAGCTCAGCTCGTGCAGCACGTCCCAGTTCTGATGAACTAAGTAGATGCGCATGTCTAAGCTCCGGGACACACATGGCGTCGCTTCTGTGATTCCACGCATCAGTTAAATGCACTTATGTTGGTATTTAAAGCTAGAATTGCACAATACGAAGCTGGATAGTAAAATCCATATGAATAACTATTTAATTTTTTAATTTAGAATGATATTAAATAGTAGTTAACAATGCCACAAAAAATCGAGAAGCTCCCAGGAGAAAGCATTACACGGCCGCGTGCTGCGTAAGGACATCAGGGTCAATGACTGACCACACGTTCAATGGTGGCACCATAAGATTATACCCCCTGGCCCAGGTGTGTGGAGGGCCAGACCACCTGGGGTTCTTTAGGTACACTCTATGACGGTCACACGAGGCACGGAAACCACCTGCTGACACTTTTCTCAGAACGAAGCAGCACATGACAGTATTTTATTACCTTTAATGTTACTTTCTTGAACATTTTAAATTCTCTCGTGACCCCACAAATTATACAGCCAGCCATGTAGCAGGGGAAATAAAACCAAAAAACACCCTGGCGGTCTAGTGAGGGGCAGCAAAAACAAAGGTGTAAATAAGTAGCAATACAATCGTGAGTGGCCCAGTCCTGTGCCCAAGTGGAAGCCAGAATGGCCGCGGCCATCAGAGGACAGTCTGGGAAGCAGTTCGTAGGCTCTGAGCTTACTTGGGATTTTAGGGGTTTGAGCAGAAGAGTACCAAGGTCTGACTTAAGTTTCACAGAACAATCCCTTTGGCTGGTGCAGATACGAGCCTAGAAGGAGGCAGGAGTGGGCATGAGGGGTGGTGTCAGGGTGGCTAAGCTCAGGCAGCAGCCTGGGGTGGCAGGGTGCACCGCGGGGTGAGCTCATCTACCAAGGGAACAATGCAAGTTGAAACTATGAGATACAAATGGTGTAATTTCTGTGATTCCACATATGCGTTAAATGCACTTATGTTTGTATTTAAAGCTAGAATTGCACAATATGAAGATAGATGGTAAAATTCATGCTAATAATTATTTCTTTTGCCATAAACAATTGAGAAAAGTTTCATGCTGCATAAGGGTCTTTCGGTCAAGGGGACGAAGAACCAGGTCTAGGGGGATCCTGGCTCTGCTGGGCAGCAGTGCTGGGACTGAGCTGAAGCCCAAGCCCTAGGGCACTGGGTCCTGGGGTGGTGGACCTGGCGGGCTAGGAGGGGGTCAGCAGGTCGCAGCCCTGCAGAGGGGCTTTCCTCTTTCGTCTCTCGCGTGCTCTATCATAAATAAAAGTTAGGGTTTGGGGCTTTAAGCTCCTCAGGGTCCTAGGCTCTCTGGCAGAGACCTGGGCTAGGCCTTTGGACTGCAGCTCAGAGGTCGGTTGGCCTTCCGCCAGCTCGTACTGCACACAAGGCGTTGCACAGACCCCAGGATCCGCCCGCCCTGCAGAGGACCAGGCCCAGGAGCACAAGAGAACTCCGAGGCAATGCCTCATTGCACTTCCTAAGCGATTATGCGGTCGTGGTTACCGTTTTTCCTGGGTACCGGGTACCTTTTTAAGAATTATTTATTGTTATTTTTAAAATTTGACCAGAGGTAAAGTGAGAAAGCAAGCGGCCTGGTCCAGGATTCGAACCGGGATCACGCACCTGCCGGCTCCCTCAAGCACCTTCTTAAACACCCCCTGCCGCCCGCGCTACCCCCGCAGCCTCCAGGAGGGCAAGTCCTCCGGAGGACCGAGAGGGCCGGCCAGAGCGCCGGCGCACCTGCGCATGCGCGCTCTGCGGCGACGGCGTCTTTGTACGTCATCGCGAGCGCGACGCGCCGAGAGACAGTCTAGGGTCTGGCCGTCAGGAAGGTTCCGCGGCGGGACCTGCCGGGAAGATGCCAGTGGCGGTGATGGCGGAAGGCTCCTTCAGTTTCAAAAAGCTGCTGGATCAATGCGAGAACCAGGAGCTCGAGGTAGGCGTTGGCGTCGCGCTGGAAGTGCGGGGTCGCCTACAGCCTCGGGCGGCAGCGGTTTCGGGGCCCCGGGCTGGGGCGCGCGCCGGGCTGGCTCGGGACTGGGCAGTGCGGCGCGGACCTCGCTCTCCTCGACGCCCAAGGGAGCGTTGTTGGTGAGCCCGGAACCCACGCTCATCTGCCGGCGCCCACCGTCGTGCCGCTGCCGCTCGGTGACCGCGGGCCGGAGGCCGGGCTGGGCGTGCGGACTTGGCCCGAGCTGCGCGGACGCTCAGCCGCACACACCGGGCGAGAAAGCTGGAACCGTTGCGACCTGTTCTTAGAAAGCCTTTCTTGTCTCCCGATCTGGCTGTCAAGTGACGTTGCTGTGCAGCTGTTAACATTAAGATTTGTTTTAGAAGGGCAGTTAAACAAGCATTTATAGCATTAGTGATTAGCTAGAGACAGCGGCCAGGAGGAGCAGGTGTTTTCTGAGTGGCTTAAAGCTGAGTGCCGAGAGAAGTGTCTGTAACTCAGCTGTCGGATTATATTGGGCTTAGACCGTCAGCATGTTTGTGCAGTGCTTTGAGAATCTATTGGAAGTGTTTGTTTCTTGAAATAGTACAGTCGTTTAAATGCTCGTCCGAGAACTGGGAAAGGAGCTCCTTTAAAACATATTTACAGAAACTGAGGCCCAGGTGGAGATAATCCGAGGTTGATGACAGACCTAAACTTAGCACTCTGGATTTTAGCATTTGGTATTTCTCTAAACTGTTTCTGCATCTGTACTTTTACTACAAGGTAGGCTTACTTTTTAAATTAGCACTAATAAAATGTTATCCTTTCTTTGATGCAAATATGATTTTTTTTTTTCTGTTTGATTTTTGGCTTTCTAGGCTCCTGGAGGAATTGCTACGCCCCTAGTGTATGGCCAGCTTCTAGCGTTGTATTTGCTCCATAATGACATGTAAGTCTCTCTTTGCCGGCAGCTAAGAGCAACCGCTTATGCCACATTATCTTGCATCGAAGCAGCACCACTAAAATGGGCCATAATGAGCCAAATCTTTTTTTGTAACACCTATTTTACTTCCTTCTGAGTCCTCCCTTAAGGAGTTTCATTGTTAATTAAAAACCTATTCGTGTTACAGATGGCTTCCAAAAACATTTCCATTTATTACGATAAACTAGAGTTAGTAATTCTTTTTTTTTTTTTTTTTTTGGAGAGATTTTCACTGTAGGGCGCGTGCGCTCGCCAGACAGACAGAGAGAGACATAGAGACAGAAAGCGAGAAATCAACCCCCAGGGGGGATGATCACGCCGCAATCCCTTCGCCTCCATTCTCCTCTCGGGATCTTGGGCACGCACGCACACGCGCCCGGCATGAGTTTTTTAAGCCGCCGGGTCCGGGACACGAACCGCGGTCGACTACGTGGGAGTCCAGCGACATAGCCATTACTCTAACTGCTGGTTTCCCAGTAATTCTTCATTTCAGTTGCCTTTTTTTTTACCCCCTTTAGGCTTTTGCCATAGAGTGCTGGTGTTCAGTGGAGAGGGACAGAGAAAGAAAATAAGAAATCACCCCCAGGGCAGACAGCCACACTGCAGTCCCTTCTTCAGTATCCTTGGGATTCGGGACACACATTCACATGTGCACAACATAATTTTCAAGCTTCTGGGTCTGGGACTCGAACTGTGGTCAGCAATGTGGGAGTCCAGTGCCTTAACCACCACACCACCTGCTGGCCCCAACCTTTTTCTTTCTTTCAAAACATTCTTATGATCTTGTTCACTTCATGTGTAATCCATAGACCAAAAGAAGCTGAAAGAGATTAAGAGAGCTAAGAGGAATTCACTATCAGCATGAATGAGATGTCTTGAAAAGGTTTTGTTTTTTAAATATCCCTAATTCTCATTCCTTAGGAAAAGTCAGAAAGCATAATAGCCTTTTCTTGTAGCTCTCTGACCCTTTGCTGATTCCTGATCAGTTTGTTTTAAATTCTTCCAAACTCTTTCATATCTTTATGAAAAGCAGATTTTTGCTATGTATTGATCGTGTAAATTATGTGTTTCATGGTTTGTAATCCCTTCCCGTGGTCACTTACTTCCACTCGTACCCGTGACTAGGAGGGCCTCCATGAGGAGGAAAGCGTCACAGACCACACTGACTGTCCGGAAAGGCTGGGCCTTGGGAGTGCTCAGATTTGTTTACTTTTATATCCTTATATCTGAGTCACTTATTTGGGTGGTTCCGTTTGTGTTTTTAGTATGTTGTTGCCTTAATAAATTTAGGCTCTGGGTCACTAATACAATACAAAATACTAAAACTGGAAAAATGTTACTTTGATAGAAATATTTTATATCTTTTTACCTGGAAAACCACTCTTATTTTTCCAAAACAAATTCATAGATAACTAAATTTTCCATAATATAAAGCACATATTAGACTGTATTTTCTAAATGTCTACATTGAGACCTATAATTTTAAACATTTACCAGGATAATTAGTTTTTAATTTGTTCTTTTTTTGTGGCTGTATAAATTAGGAATAATGCCAGATATCTTTGGAAAAGAATACCACCTGCTATAAAATCTGTAAGTATTCTTTTAATACATTTTATTGCATAATATAATAATTTATTTAAGTAGCAACCTCTTAAAAGTTCCAGTGTTCTTTTTCGTATCATAGAAATAGTCATCAAACTAGTATTAGAAACTAGCATTAGAGTGGACCTTCAAGTTCTCCTAATCAGAAACTTGTATTTTCCCAGGATAGTATAAAAATCTGTGCTCAGCTCCTACTGACCGATCTCTTGAGACCGCTCTTTTTTTTCCCTCTGAGACAGTGTCACTATGTTGCTCGGACTGGCAGTCCACCTGCTCCAGCCTTCTGAGTGACTGGGTGCAGGCACGCGGCCTGTGCCCAGCCAGGACGTTTTTATAACTAGTGTCACCAGTTAAACAGCTGAGCCTGTTTATATGAAGGAGGGTGGTGGCAGTGGAAGTGGTGGCAATTTTCAACTGATTTTTGTAGTTTCCTATAAAGGTGCTTATTTGGAAATTGGTATTGTTTTCAAGAATATTCTAAAAATGGTTATTGACAGCATTAAAATTATGTTTGCTAATTAGGGTCGTACATTTTTTTTCTTTTGGATAGGAGATGAAATGAAAGAACCTGTGAAAAGTTTCTTTCCAAAGTAAAACAAAGTAAATTTTTAATTTTCAGTGATGCATTGTGTCTGATGTGGATGTAAAGTGAATTTTTAAACATCCTCAGAACACTACCAAGAGCTTGCTCGAGCCTCACTCACGGTCGATGTGCAGCAGGAGTCAGACTGCTGTCTTGTCTTCAGTGCTTTCCCAGACGTTGTGCTGAGTCAGATTGGGCCTTGCCCCGTGTTCCTCAGCCTCTTTGGCTAAATTCCACGCAGTTCTGGGGGCCCAGTGCAAACGCTCTCCTTACCGAGGTCGAGGCGCTACTGCCTGACACCTTGGAGTGACGGTCTCTGTTGGCAGCCATCTTGCCATTGCTTCTGCCCTCTGTGTATACATGAATGAGAGGGCTTCACAAAGTTCGTGGAAAATGTGCGTTGTGGGAAACTGAGTTTGGAAAATTCTTTGCCCCAAATTAGCCCGTCCTTTAATTCCATTTCTCATGGCCTTTTTTTTCCCCTCAGTTTTTGTTATAGGGCGTGTGCGCTCGCCGAAGAGAGAGAGAGAGAGGGAAATCACCTCCTGGGGGATAGCCACATTGTAATCCCGTCTCCATTCTCCTCTCAGGGTTTTGGGGTACATACGCACACAGGCCTGGTGTGTTTTTCAAGCAGCCAGCTCCAGGACTTGACCTGTGAGTTGACACCTGCTGGCCCTTTCTGTGGACTTTCTGAAGTGCCCTCTTGTATATGAAATATAAATGTAGCATTTTTCATAAACAAGAATGGTTAAGATAATTAGTTTTTAGGCTTAATTCTGAAATACTTAGGGATTATTTCTTCATGCCTTAGTTGGTGTGATAAAACTGTATGTAGGGCTTATATAAATTTTACATCACAGCTCACAGCATTTAAATCCTTTTTGATAATGATTCTGCTGAATAAGTAATTGCACCTCTTAAAGAAATACAAGACTTTTATGCCTTTTTTTTTTTTTGAGAGGTTTTTGCTATAGGGCGCATGCACTCGCCAGACAGAGAGAGACAGAGAGATAGAAAGTGAGAAATCACCCCCCAGGGGGGATGGCCACACCACAATCCCTTCTCCTCCATTCTCCTCTTGGGATCTTGGGCACGCACACACACGCGCCCGGTATGGGTTTTAAGCCACCGGGGCCGGGACTCAAACAGCGGTCGACTACGTGGGAGTCCAGCAACATAGCCATTATGCTAACTGCTGGTCCCCAAGATTTTTATGTCTTTAAACATGTAAAAATTATGCTTTCAGTGGTACAGCTAACAAGTTTATCTCATTTCCGATATGTTGTTTTAAGATGCAGTTGGCAAATTTGTAGAGTGAATGCCCTCAAAGGTCATGACATTTATTGCAGGCAAATTCTGAACTTGGGGGGATTTGGTCAGTAGGACAGAGAATCTGGCAGAGAGATTTCCCAGGGATCTACACGACCATCAACGCCCACCAGTGGTCCGAGACTGTCCAGCCCATCATGGAGGCACTCAGAGGTAGGTTTGCTTGTGCTTAAAACTAGATTAGACTGGACTTAGTGCTTCTCCAGCCTGTTGGAATTCGAGGCACACACTAGGCTTGTTTTTCAAGCCACCAGGGTCCAATTCAGACTGCACAGTCAGCCACGTGGGGTCTGGCTCCCCAACTCCAGGCCTTGGGGCCAGCCCCTGGGGACATTTTTAATCCTGTTCTCACCGAAACATCTGACCAGAATGAATATGATAGGCTTACAAATTAATAACGTTTGTCCTTTTTTCACTGTCACTTCAATTCCTTCCCATTGAGTGTACCCTTCCATAGGAAAACCTTATTTGTCTTTAAGGTATTTCAAACATCTGTTGGGTCATTTCCTAGAAGCCTGTAGGAGGAAGGATAGAATCCAGGGGAAGACGTGACAGGGAGAGCAAACGGGTCAGCAGGAGCTGGAGAGAGTGGCAGGCCCAGTGAGGTGGGAAGGAGTGTGGGTATCATTTGAGTTTTAAAGAGGAGAAGGCAGCCTGAATCTGAGACCTCACCCCATTCGGTCCTCCTGATACCACCAGCAGGTGTGTGCTAAGCTGGACTTCACTGGAGATGCTAGGCACTTGTGGGTCTACAGAAATAAAAGGCATTTATCCTCCTTTCCGTGGAGAAATCTGGAAGATTCCTGACGAGGTGGAGGTGGGGTGGGCAGTAGCTGCCGCAGCTGGTAGAAGCTAGCTGGTGAAGGCAGGAGTCGAGCAGTGATGCCATGGCTTTAGCGAGGGCAGAGTTTGTGGTGGGTTTTGTGCTGCACGAAGTTATAAACAGACCTAGGAAGAGTAGCGAGCAGGGAGGAGGGCAGTGTGGGGAGCCTAGCTGGAAGAAGGTGAAGACAGCGAGGGGGCTAGTTTAGAGCCAGGAGTGCCTGTGGGAATGGCATAGCTGTTTGGCAATACCCAGGAATAGAGAGGGACTTTTCAGCATGTTACAGGGTTGGTTCGATACATGCACACTTTTAAATAACGAAAAATAAAGTCCAGAATATTTCCTAAGTGTGTTACTTAACAACAGGTAGAGGAGCCCTGTATTGCTGGAAGGGCACTAGGTGGTCTCAGCTGGGTGGGGCAGAATCCTGCGGTCCCATGCCTGCAGTTCAAATGGCACATGAGCGGGGGGGATCCAGATGACTTTCAGAGGAAGAGGTTTTGTCGCTGGTACAGCTTGGCAGCCCCTCTTCTTAGACTCGGCCACTCAGGCTGGAATTGAGGGTTTCGAACCTGAATGAAGAGTGTGACTCAGACCCGAAGGTGAGGAAGGGTGCTATAGTTTTGAGGGCTGTGCTGCAGCCCGAGGTGTACCCTGTTAGGGACCTCCCAGGAAGGACAAAATGGCTAATTGCTCAAGTCAGTCAGTCTCCTGCATTCCAGTGCTTGCTGGTGAAATAGAACAAAATGTAAACAAATGTATAATACAAATACAAAAACATTTACATTATTTTAGGGGTTTAGTATATATAATGTTTTTTCTGTCTTCGTAGTCTTCATTGTGTCAGAGAGAGATTTTTCATTTAACAGGACGGTGTAAGAAATAGACAAGATTCTGTAGCAACTTCTGTGCTCCTCTGGCCTAGTGGACACATACACCTGTGTCTGTAAGCACGGAAGTCTTTGGGACACCTGGGGCTGTGGATAAAAAATGGGACGAGGGTCATAGCGTCACTCTAGCGTGTCGTCTCTGCCCACCCCCCGCTCCCACTGTAGAGGCGACACGGAGGCGCGCCTTCGCCCTGGTCTCTCAGGCCTACACCTCGATCGTCGCCGATGACTTCGCAGCCTTCGTTGGACTTCCTGTGGAAGAGGCTGTGAAAGGTACCTGCGGCCTGCTTTCTGCTTCTGGGGAAGATGGGGAGAGTGAGTTACGGGCCCACCGTCCTTTCTCTGAGACCCTCGGGACAGGATGTGTGGAGAGTTGTGGAGCAGTCATTGCACAACGCCCCAGCAGGGGTCTGGAGGCATGCGCCAGTGGTGAGCACGCTGGCAGTGGGCACGCTGATAGCTCCGCACAGCCGAGCCTCGCGGCTCACGTTGAGAAGCCCTATGAACCCAGTGCCTCGGCAGAGACTGCTGTCTCCCCACAGCCCTGTCTCCTTTCCATGCCCGACCACACCCTCGGTGCTTGCTCCCTCCCCTACCTGGGTCTCCAGGTGCGCACACCCTTGTTGCCTAGGTGATCCCTGAACATCCCCCCCCACACCGGGTTGCTTGTGCCGCTCGCGAAGTTTACTGTGATCTGTGTCTTTGAGTCTCCCACCAAACCAGGAGCCCTGTCAAGGCCCACATTTTATTCCTAACTCCAAGGCCTGGCACAGTGTGAACACATGGGAGACGACTTCATGGGAGTTCTACATTACGTCGAACTGATACTTACTCATACAGGCATTTGATTGTTTGAATGTTCTCTTAAAATTTAGTCTTTATTATCCAATACATAACATATTCAAGAGCATATACTCTTAGCTGGCTGACTGGGTGTGAATTCTCGTACACCCACTCCCCTGCGCTTTCTGTGCATCTGGGAATAAGTCACTTGAATTCCCTGAACTTCATTTCTCACACCTGTGAAATGGTGACCGTGTATCCCACGTGATGGAGTTGTGATGACTGTGTAAATGATCCGTAAGAGCCCCTAGTGACGCAGCACCTACCAGCAGACTTCTTGTATATGGAAGCCATTGTTTTGATCATCGTTGGCATTTTTGTTACTGATACAACCACAAATGTACCATGGGAATTTTCCTTAGTTGTGTTTTTAGTAATCCTAGTGAGCTTAATACTATAATCTATACTTTATAGGAAACTAACCATCTGTTAGTGATTATAGCAACCTGATAGAGTACACTGAGGCTTGATTTATATTTTAGAAACACCTCTAAAGTAAGTTTGTTTATCTTCTCGATACTGTGCATTCTATTAGAAATACACATTAGGGCCAGCAGGTGGTATAGGGGTTAATGCACTGGACTCCCATATGGTCGGCTGTGATTCAAACCCCAGACCCTGTGGCTTGAAACACACGCCGAGTACTTGTGTGTATGCATGCCCAGAATCCCACGAGGAGAATAGAGGAGAAGGGATTACATGGCCATTCTCCCTAGGGAGTGAGTTCTCACTCTCTTTTTCTGTGTCTCTGGAGAGCACCTGCTGTAGGGAA